ACTGCAACGTATTGATGAGTTTCATCCAAGTTATTTGGCATTCCAGTATCCTTTTATTTTTCCTTATGGAGAGGATGGTTATAGAGATAACATTGCACATAGAGATCTTGATATTTTTGATGACTCTCAAAGGAACCGACTTACTATTCGAGAATGGCTAGCATTTAGAATACAAAGTAGGTGTAATGAGGCAAAAACTTTGTTATCATCTAGGAGATTGTTCCAACAGTTTTTGGTGGATGATTACACAATGCTTGAAGGAGAGAGATTGAATTGGATCAGAAAAAATCAATCCTAGCTAAGAGTGTCAAAGTATACAAGTCTACATTCAGAGCAAGACCAAACACAAGGATCAAGCATAGGGAAAATAGTCGTTTTACCATCATCTTATGTTGGAAGTTGGAGATTTATGGATCAATTGTGTTATGATGGCATGACTATTTGTAGTAAGGTGGGATTTCCGGATCTTTTCATTACTTTCACATGCAACCCAAATTGGACGGAAATTTAAAGATTGCTTGGTCCTCTAAATTTGAATCCTCTAAATTTGAAGCCACAAGATAGACCTGATGTCATTGCAAGAGTTTTTAAGATGAAGTTTGATAACCTTCTAGAAGATGTGACCAAAAAAGGAGTCTTAGGAAAAGTTCTTGCATGTAAGTTTACTATGTCATATCAATTGCTTTAACTTACTATCCTTTAAAATTATCTAGGCATTTCAAGCTAGACATGACATGTTACAACATATTTATCTTACAATTGTTCTTATTTCCAAATATGTACACAATTGAGTTCCAAAAGAGAGGTATTCCGCATGCGCACATTCTTATCTTCTTGCATCCATCAAATAAATATCCTACTCCTGAAGACATAGAAAAATCATTTCTGCTGAAGTTCCTGATCCTTTGAGTCAACCAAAACAGTATAATCTGGTCAAAACTCACATGGTGCATGGTCCCTGTGGGTTAGCAAATCCTAGACGTCCTTGTATAAAATATGGTAAGTGTTCCAAGTATTATCCTAAAAAGTTCCAAGATGTCACAATTGTTGATCAAGATGGATATCCTGTTTATAGAAGGATAGATCAGGGTAATACAATTGAAAAGAATGGAGTCACCCTACATAGTGGTCACGTTGTATCCCACAACCCAAGTTTGCTGATGAAATATGAGGCACACATTAATATGGAGTGGTGCAATCAAAGCACTTCAATTAAATATCTCTTCAATTACATCAACAAGGGTTCTGATAGGATCTCGACTGTTATTGTTCCAAACAACACTGGAATCGATGGAAATCATGATGAAATCAAACAATACCTTGATTGTCGATATGTCTCACCAAGCAAAGCATGATGGAGAATCTTCTCTTATTCAATTCATGGCAGGAAACCAGCTGTTGAAAGGTTATTTTTTCACATGGAAGGAGAGAATTCTGTATACTACAAAGATTTTGAACAAATTGGAACCCTCCTTCTTAAACCAAGTGTCACAGAATCAATGTTTACTTCTTGGTTTGTGGCAAATACTCAGTATGAAGAAGAAAAGTTATTAGCATATGGTCAATTTGTGTCCAAGTTTGTTTATGAAAAGAAGAAAAGGTGTTGGAAACCGTGTAAAAGAGGTTACACAATTGGCCGACTAATTTGGGTCCCGCCAACAACTGGAGAATTGTATTATATGAGGATGTTGTTGACTATGAAGAAAGGTCCGACAAGTTATGATGATTTAAAGAAAATTGATGGGTTCAAACACAAAAGTTTTAGAGAGGCGTGTTTTGCATTGGGCTTCCTACAAGATGACAAAGAGTTCATTGACGCAATTAAAGAGGCTTATAACTGGGGTTCTGGAGTATTTTTGCGCAAACTGTTTGTTACAATGTTATTATCATCTTCAATGAATCGACTATAACATGTTTGGTTAAATACTTGAATGTACCTATCAGATGATATTCTATATGAACAAAGAATATTGTCACAAAATCCAGGTTTGATTATTATATATTTGCTGCTTCTTTGTAACAACATCTTTTCTTTTATCCTCTTCATCTTATTGTCACAAAATCCAAGATTTGAAATTTTCACAGATTTGCTTATTTAAATTGTTTTCATGATGCAACGCTATTGGTGTTTTGTTTTTATTTATTGTAGATGAGCAGCTTAAAATCTTTAAAGAAGTTATGGATGTTGTCACAAATCAAAATGGTGGTGTTTTTTTCCTATATGGTTATGGTGGTACAGGAAAGACTTTGATGTGGAACACATTGTCTGCTGCTCTGCATTGTAAATGAGATATTATGTTGAATGTAGCATCTAGCAGAATAGCAAGTTTGTTGTTACCAGGAGGAAGAACTGCACATTCCAAATTCAAGATTACAGTTCCATGTTTGGAATCTTCTATATGTAACATAGAGAAAAATTCTGATCTTGTCAATCTCTTAAAGGTAACAAAATTAATAATATGGGATGAGGCACCAATGGCAAATAAATATTATTTTGAAGCTCTTGATAAGTCATTGAAGGAAATTATGAGTGATGACGATGTTGAGTGTCAGCAGATTTTTGGAGAAAAAGTTGTAATTTTTGGTGGAGATTTCAGACAAATTCTACCAGCTGTTCCAAGAGGTACTAGATCAGATATAATACATGCAACAATAAATGCCTCTTATATTTGGGATCATTGCAAAGTTATGAATCTAACCAAAAATATGCGTTTGCAAAGTGGTTCTAATTTAGGCAATTCAGAAGAAATTAGACTCTTCTCAGATTGGATTTTACAAGTTGGTAATGGAAAGGTCTCAGAACCCAATGATGGATATGCTGAAATTGATATTCCTGAAGAGTTACTTATAAGAGATTTTGTGGGCCCAATTGAAGCAATTATTTCAAGTACCTATCCAAATCTGCTTCAAAATTACACGGATCCAAATTTCTTCAGTGTAGAGCTATTCTAGCATCAACTATTGAAATAATTGATGACATACATGACTTCATAACTAATCTTCTTCCAGGTATACTTCATTTTCTATTATAACTATATTTTCTGATTATTTCATACAATGTGTCTTTGGATGTACATATGTATATATTATTTTGATATGTACATACTACTATATTATTTTTTCATACTATTTTTTATACATACCTGTTATTCTGTTATATATATATATATATATATATATATATATATATATATATATATATATATATATATATATATATATATATATATATATATATATATATATATATATATATATATATATATATATATATATATATATATATATATATATATATATATATATATATATATATATATATATATATATATATATATATATATATATATACTTAATTTTGATTTCATGTAGGTGAATCTAAAGAATATTTGAGTTGTGATTCCATTTATAGATCAGAAGCTAATGAAAATTATGCTTTCGAGCATTTGACACCGGAATTTTTGAGTTGTCTAAAAACTTCTGGTTTTCCTAACCACTCATTGAAATTGAAGCCTGGTACAATCATCATGTTGATAAGAAATTTGGATCAATCTGAAAGCCTTTGTAATGGTACAAGGTTAACAGTTACGAAGTTAGGCAATCATGTCATTGAAGTAAATATCATTTCAGGTACAAATATTGGAAACATTATTTATATCCCGAGAATGTCTTTGTCTCCTTCCCAATCTCCATGGCCATTTAAACTTATCAGAAGACAATTCCCAATTATAGTGTCCTTTGCTATGACAATCAACAAATCTCAAGGACAATCGTTGGACTATGTTGAATTATATTTTCCAAAGAATGTTTTCAGTCATGGACAACTTTATTTGCCATTTCAAGGGTTAAGAGCAAAGCTGAATTGAAAGTTTTAATACACGACAAAGACAACAACTACTTAACTCAAACAACAAATGTGGTCTTCAAAGAAGTTTTCCACAATGTCATATAGGTACATATTTAGTTTTTGAATAAGATTATTTTTTCTTAATATGAATACTAAAATCTTCATCTCTATATTTAGCTTCAAGTAAAATAATTTGATACTCAAATTTATATTTCACTTCATGCTTATATAATTCATTCTTTCAACATCTCATATTTTCTTGGATAGTTCTAATATTTCATTAATTATTGATTTTATTTTATATTTGTAGGTTTTGTAATCCCCACTCTTCCTTCATACAAGTCTTACTACATCATTTCAATTTACAATGTTATTTGCACTTTGTTACTAAATTTTTTTTATTGGATATACTATGCTTCAGATATTAAAAGTTATTGTATTTTTATGACATTAAATATAACCACTATTATAAAGTTATTATGAAATTTAAGAATGAATTTACCCGTGCGGAAGCACGGATTTACTACTAGTAAACAATTAAAAAGAATAAAATGAAACATGTGGTGAAAATTATCCTTTAACCTAAACTAGTCATATCCATACCTACTAGGCCTAACGGCCCAAACAACGGTCTATAGTTAAAACCTTTTATTGGTATTCTTAAATAAAGAATAAATCCTTTTTAAGGGTGTGAACTAAAAAACCTTTACGCATACTCTCCCCCACTTTCACACACAAATAAATTTTACATTAAAATTCAATAAATCACCTCCCTATATATTTCCTTTTCTCTTATACCATCCATTAAAATCCATTATATATAACCACCCAATTTGCTCAAATTCAAAACCTCAAATACCTATATTTCTATTATTTAATTTATGATTGTTACACTAACATAACATCTCATCTAACCTAGTCCTCCTTTTTCAACCACTCCATCTAATCTCCTAACTAAATACATCTAACTATCTCTCTTTGCTTGTGAATAATTTTAATGACGTGTTAGTTAGTTTTAACTGTCAATGAACAACCCATTTAATTCAATTTAATTTAATTAAATATCTTACCGTCAATTTTTTATCCTATATATCTTCATGGATAATGTTATTTCTGAACATACATGTTTGAAATATAAAAATTACTACAAAAGATGAGTAAAAGAGCAAGGAGTAGTCCAACGTTGTTGGGAGTGGGACTGAGGTTGTCCCCACCAAGAGTGACAACCTCGGCACTTTTTGATGATGTTCTGTCAAATGAATCTTCTTCCACAGAACTTGTTCATTCATCAGAAGGATCATGTGTGTCTTGTGATACTGCTCAAGAGACAAAAGCCATGCTTCTCGTAGGTTGCACTCGATGTCTTATGTATGTTATGTTACCAGAAATTGATCCTAAATGCCCCAAATGTAAGAGTACTGCCTTGCTTGATTTCCTTAATAACGAGGAAATTACCAGTAAGAAGACAAGCAGCTAGTGAGATTGCGGCTACTGATACTGTTGTGGTTGTGACTCCTGCGATTATAGACATTGTTGTCTGATGTAATACTGTTGTTATAGAGTGAAGTTATTTTTAATTTCTACTAAATGTTATAAGATAGTAATTATCTTTAAAATTACATATTTTATTATATTTTTCTCTCTACGTTTCATTTTTGTTAGTCTATATAATTATGTGCAGATGTTATCCAATTCATATTAAGCAATAATTAAAAATACTTTTAACATGTATGATATATAGAAGATTTAGAAAAAATAAATTGTGTGAACAATGTATAAGCAAGGTTTGTTATATATATTTAAAAAAACTGATTTATTTTTTAAATATTTTTTAAAATATTTTTTAAGATTTTTGTATTAAATTATAAAAGTTATTTCAACCTCATTTTTATTAATTTAAAAATTATTTTTAACACTCTATAATATAAATATATATTATTTAAAATTAAAACATAATTAAAATTACATAATGTTAGAAAAAAAAATATCTCAAAAATAATTTATATGAATATTTATTCAAAATAAATTAAATTTATGAAGTTTTGATATCTTAAAAAATTTTTAATTAAATGATAAACTAAAAATAAAATTTAATGAAAAACTATTTACAATTATTTTTTGTTTGAAACTTTTTTTAAATAAAGTAACAAGTACACAAATAATTTCTTTACCCAATTCAATCAAAGTGATATATATATATATATATATATATATATATATATATATATATATATATATATATATATATATATATATATATATATATGTACATATATATATATATATATATATATATATATATATATATACATATATATATATATATATATATATATATATATATATATATATATATATATATATATATATATATATATATATATATATATATATATATATATATATATATATAGAGAGAGAGAGAGAGAGAGAGAGAGAGAGAGAGAGAGAGAGAGAGAGAGAGAGAGAGAGAGAGAGAGAGAGAGAGAGAGAGAGAGAGAGAGAGAGAGAGAGAGAGAGAGAGAGAGAGAGAGAGAGAGAGAGAGAGAGAGAGAGAGAGAAGAGAGGAGAGAGAGAGAGAGAGAGAGAGAGAGAGAGAGAGTTACCTAAACATTAACCGTTGTTACAAGAGGTTACAAATGAGTTACAAGAGAATATCCTTCCGAGTTCTTAAGAATAAACCTTATTTTATACCCAAGTGTTTAGCAATATCTCTAACTTTCAATATATGAATTGCACAAATCCAAGGTGTATAGAAGTATATTCCAATCTACTTAGATACCCTTAAAGGTCTTCTAATAATAATTCCTAAGAATCCCCCTATTTTGCTCTCTAAGTTTCTCTCACTAGAGTTTTATAATTTCTTCCCTCATACCTATAAAGGGCTGAAAAGATTTTTCATAGGTGCCTTGAGGGGCGCAATGCATTTCTCTGAAATGCATTGTGTTGGTGAAGAAACACTATAACACACTACATTATTTTCCTAGAACGTATTATGTTATTTGCTTAATCCGAAATTGTTTTTTAAGCCAATCACTACAAAGTAATATTACAAGTTGTATTAAAATTCCATAGAATTAGCATATTGGATGATCTAAGGTGGTAAATATCATATGCGCAACTTGACTTTCTTACGCTCAGTACTTGAGGCATGCATGTATATCTTGAATTGCACTTTTTACCAGAGGCATGTGTGATCATAATGATTAGAAACTATAAACTAGAAGCACGTTTGATCATTGATAAGATATCCTATACCAGAGATATGCTTGATCAATGATCATACACTCTGTACCATAAACATGCTTGGTCAATAAACATACACATTGTACCAGAGACACACTTTAACACATTGGTTAGAAGCCTTTATACTCAGAGCAATGTTGCTTAATTCATATTGTTGACTTCATCATATTATATTTTTCCTTTATTTAACCATAAGTAACCCCTAGATGCATTGAAGGATCAAATTTTCATGTATGCTAGAGTCACGAAAGATGTTTCTTCAAACTCACGAGAAGAAGGAAAAGTTTAAGCTGGGATATCAGCCATCCTTAGACAAATTAAATGGTCAATTGGACAAAAAGCATATTCCTCCGGTGGAAGAAACATTCACCAGTGTCGCCCACATATTTGGTGGTCAAGTAGCAATGATCAATGAAGAAACATATAATGAGATGACGTCCAACTGGATACGCTAAGCAGAGCCTGGCGAGGAGCTGAAGAACATGAAGGATATTGAGATTCCCCAATGTTTTAACACTTTAGTTATCATCAATAAAGTGACAATTTTCATTCAATTATGTTCCTTTTCTTTCGGAACTTTTTTTATATATAGAATAAAATGGCAATGTTTTTACGCACCCACTTTCTAAAATATACTGCATAATTCATAACATGCAGAAACACTACTGAGATCATTGATAACGATAATGATATGATCCTATATGACTTCGATCGTCCAATTATCTAAGTCGAAGACGAATGTAAGGAAGATTGTGAACTTCTTAAAGAGCTACCAGACTACTCAAACAGGAAGAAAAAGTCATTCAATCGCACTAGGAAGACATTGAAGTTATTAAATCGGGATCCATGAAAGACAAGAAGGAAGTGAAGGATATGTAGATGTGTTCGCTTGGTTATATCAAGATATGCCTGGGTTGGATACAAATATCGTTGTGCACAAGTTGCTACTTAAAGAAGAATGTCTTGTTGTTAAACAGAAGCTAAGAAGAACTCGCCCAGATATGACCCTCAAGATCAGAGAGAAAGTACAAAAGAAGTTCGATGCCGGATTCTTAGCAGTAGCCAAGTACCCACAATGGGTTGCCAACATTGTGCCAGTACCAAAAAGGATGGAAAAGTCCAGATGTATGTTGACTACCGAGACTTGAATAGAGCGATTTCAAAAGATGATTTTCCATTGCCTCACATTGATGTATTAGTCGATAATAAACGACTTAATTCTAGGTATTTTCCTTCATGGATGGTTTCTCCGGGTATAACAAGATAAAAATAGACCCGGAAGACATGGAAAACCCACATTTATCACCCCGTGGGGGACCTTCTGTTACAATGTGATACCTTTTGGATTAAAAAATGCTAGGGAAACATATCAACACACAATGGCGACTCTCTTTCATGATATGATTCATAAAGAGATCGATGTATATGATAATGATATGATTTCCAAATCCCAAACTAAAAAAGATCACATTACCAATATGCAAAAGTTTTTTGCTCGGTTGAGGAAATTTAGGCTGAGGCTTAACCTCAACAAATGAATATTTGGGATTCTATCTAGAAAATTATTGGGTTTCATCATAAGACAAAGAGGGATTTAGGTGGACCCTGACAAAGTTTGAGCCATCCAGAACTTGCATGCACCAAAGACAGAAAAAAAGGTTTGTGATTTCTTAAAAAGAATAAACTACATTGCCAAATTCATTTCACATCTCACAGCCACGTGTAAGTAAATACTCAAACTTCTAAGGAAGGATCAAGCGATCGAGTGGAACGATGACTGCCAAGCAACTTTCAACAAAATCAAAGAAAATTTGCAAGAGTCACTGGTCTTGATACCTCCTATTTGGGGAAGACCGTTTATCATGTATGATTGATGGCTTTTATATTTTCTTTTACCATAATTTCAGTTAATCATTTCATGTTTTTGTTTGCATTTTAATTATGTTTGCCATATGTTATGCATGGTAGTATTGTTTTTTGTTTTTCAGGCACAAAGAAGTCACTTACAAAATATCGGGAAAAAGGAAAAGAATCGAAGAAGATTTCCATTATGTCAGTGGTCTGCTACGACCACCCGTAGCAGACAAATGCCCAAAGATGAAAAAAGAAGAAAAAATCAATGAGCTGCTACGGGCACTTGTAGCACAGGCTACGGGCCGTAGCAGCTGCAACGCCCTCAAGTGTTTTTAGAAGACCATATCAAGTGGCCTGCTATGGCCCGTAGCAGGCAGGCGAGCAGAATTTCATATTTCCTTTTTGGAAAGAGATTTGAAATTGAATGAGATCTTTTACAACTTTAGGAGGAATATTTTTGGGATATTTAGGTAGTGTTTGGCTAGGTTTTGAATTCTTCTACTTTGGACGATAAAAAATAAAAAGAGATAGAATTAGAGAATTTGGAGAGAAGATGACGATTTTCATAATCCATCGCGATTGAAGATCAAAGTTCATCTATCCTTCTTGTAATGTTCACACTCTTTTCTATGTTTTATTTTCTATTTAAGAGTAGCTAAACCCCCCCCCCCCCCCCCCCCAAATGCTAGGGGGTGTCCCTGATTCAGACTTGTAATGATTTTGAATTTCTATATGCAATAACAATTTTATTTCATCATAATCGATTTATTTTGTTGACTGTTTCTAATGCTTTCTATGTCGGACAAACAGAGTTTGATGTTTGTGTTATAATTAGGCTGGATCACCTTGTGTATGATTTGTTAGAGAATATATCTTAGTAGACATTTCCTCGGGCTAGGGATGCCCTATTATAACTGGATGATTCTTGATATAAGGCTTATTTTCAACCATGAATTTTCTATGGACATATACATGAGGTTTAATGAATAATGGTTTTCTCAATAAGGGCTTATGAATAAACACTCTTAAGAACCGGTAATCTATTAGTTGAAATATGTTGTTGCATTGTGAGTTCTGAATGATTACATAATTGAATCATACACCATCCCTAGCATATTCCTCATATCTGATTTAACCCTTACCGTAGTTTCTTTATTCCATTCACAAATATTATTATAATTGAACAAAATAATTCCAAAACCCCAAAAGGATTTTGTTTGATTGGACAAAGATTGAAACTCAATATTCATACGCAGTCCTTAGATCGACATCTGAGGGACTTACCTTATTATTACTACATTAGCAAAAATAGTACACTTCCTATTTTTCTGATCAATGTACTTAATAATACTTCATGAATCTATAAGTTGTGTGTTG